CCCCCAGCTTCCTAATGAGAATGGGGTGAGAGACAGTATCAAAAGCCTTCCTGAAGTCTAGGAAAACTATATCCACTGCCACCCCTGCATCCAATGATTTAGTGACCTGGTCGTAAAAGGCCACCAGGTTGGTCTGACAGGACCTGCCGCTGATGAACCCATGCTGGTTGCCCCTGAGCATGCCGTTCCCTGCTGGCCCCTCCTGGATGCGTGCCAGAATAATTTTCTCGAACAGCTTGCCCAGGATCGAGAATCATCTTAATGGGTTAATAAACACGGAGTTAGAGGTGTGATAAACACTGTGTTATCAACTCCTGGCAGGGCTGGGGGAACCCCTCCCTAATCAGAACATCCTGATGGGACCTGGTCATGTCCCCCTCATCTCAGCCCTTTGAAAGGGAAAGGAGGGCTGCTCTAGCACCCCCTGGCTTCTAGCCTGAGCCACTGCAGGCAAATACCGGAATTTCCTCAGTTTAGAGGGGATGTCTGCACAATTACAAACTGGTTTAACCTAGCCAGGTTAAACTAACCTGCAAAGATTGAATCAATTCAGGCTCAGGCTTTTTTGAATGTCTGTCCCTAGCCCTAAAGGCCAAATACCTATTTGGGTTTTAAAATTGTTTGGAGTGGTTTACGAAGATGTGCTTCAAAAATAAAACAGAGCACACTGATGACAGAGAGTTTCTATTTCTCATGGAAACACTTCCCTTCTTGTTGAAACAAACAGGAGAATACCAAATGTTACATGTGAACATTATGACAGCTAGTTTCCAGGAAGGCATAATTTTATATGCAAATCAAACTGAAAGTGCAATTGGTGCTGAAAAGGGTGGAGTGCTGGAATGAAGACAAAACTGCAGTGAAGCACAAAACAGCTCATTCCACTGTGATCCTTCGCAAATACAACTTCTGTTACCAGTCTGCTGACAAAACTCAGGTCAGTTCTCTTTTTCTAATTTTGTTTTTAAATAAGCTATAAACCAATTGTGATATGCTGAACCTACTTGTAGCAGCAAGGGCTGGGAATTTGGTCTTATGTGATGGCATTCTGAATATACAGTAGTAGTAATAGCTTACTTCCACTGCTTACACTAAAGCAACACAATGAAATGACCAATAGTATATAAAATAATAACATTTATATAGTTTATAACTGTTGATACAAACATACAATAGAACTATCCATTCTATCACTTTACACAAAATTAAAACAACATAGTATATATTCTAAAATAGATCAAATGAAGCAGGGAACAATTAAGTAAAAGGGGAATTCTATTTGATTTGATACTTTTTAATTAAATACTCGGTTACTGAAGAGAATATAAGGGTTGGCCAGGAAAATATAAGGCTGGACCAGGATCTGATCCCGAATTTTGGAAGCTACATTATTCAACTACAGAGACAGGTTACTGCACCAGTCTGAGCTGGTGCTGGGTAGAGGGGGTGCATTTCTCCCTGTCCCCCCACCACCTCTTGGAGGCAAACACGGGAGGGGACAGGGCTGATTTGATCACAGCCCTACCTACTTGGCTGCAGGACTTTCCCCCTGTGCCAGGCAGTCCTGGATGGGGGGTTGGTGTCATGCTGCAGGGATGTGCCTCCCCCTCCCCCAATCTCTTGAAGGTGGACAGCTGGGGAAGGGGCAGGGCTAAGCCAAGCCCAGCCCCACTTGCTGGGCTCCAGGGCAGAAGGGGGCAACTCCCCCCCCACAATGATGGAGCTTTCTCTCTGCTTTCACTGTACAGACTAGTGCTAGGGTACCTGGGGGTCTGTCTCCCCTGCCCCCTATCCCGCCAGGCTGACAGGTGCAAGCAGAAAGCAGGTTAGGAAGCAGAGGTTTTAGTGCTTGAGCTGTGACAGCTGCGGGTGGCACTAGCCCTGCTCTACTGAAGAAGACAACCCAGGCCATCTCTGGGCTGCAAAGCATCCTAGGATGCTAGGAGACTGTTAGTTAACTTGGGTTGGAGGAAATCTGGGACAGAAGTTTAAACCAGTTTAATCTAAATCAGTTAAGTCTGATATGACATCTGACTAGGTGTATCTTAAACTAAAGGTGCACCAATATATTGGTTGCATATTGGATCAGCACCAATAACAGGAAAATTAATAACATTATTGGCAACTGACTTTTTTTTGGCCGATAACATCACTGATGAATGCCACGTGCCTGCAGCCAGAAATGCAGTCTGGCAGCTTGGAGAGCAGCACCCTGCCAGTAAGTCTGTGGGGGGAAGGGGCATTGGGGGCAGGGCAGATTGAGGACCCCACAGTGAGGGAGGGAGCGGGGCAGTGGCAGGCTGGGGCTGGGACCAGGATGAGGCCACGGGCAGCTTGCCCAAAGGGTGCAGGGGAGAGTTGGAGGGGAGGCAGGTCCCTGCTCCTACATGCACCCCTGGAAGAGGCATGGGTGGCATGTGCCCCCCACCCAGATTTGTGTACAGGGCAAGGGCAGACTACCTGCTGTTGGCTTGGGGTCAGGGGCTGTGCTAGCCTCTTCCCGGTGCAGGGACTAGGCTGAGGCTATGCTCGAAGAGGGTGGGGGGCAGGGCGGGCTCAGCTGTGTGGGGCAGGCGGCAGCAGTGGTGCTGGGAGGAGTGGAGAGAGTCTGGCGTAGCCCCTGCCCCCGAGCCCACAGTGGGCAGCCTGCCCTTGCCCATGCACAAATCCAGGGGACACATCAGCAACATGGATGTGGGTGTGAAGTGTACTCTGTCCAAGTTTGCAATACTAAATTGTGGGAGAAGTGCACATTCCACAGGGTAGGGAACGATTGCAGGCAGACCTGGAGAGGTTAGAAAAGTGGGCAGTACACAGCAGGATGCAGTACAACAAGGAAAAGTGCAGAGTGCTCTACCTAGGGCACAAAAAATATCCAGCACATCTACTGGCTGGGAAGTGACCCTCTCAGCAGCGCAAGCGGAAAGGGATCTCGGAGTCATGGTGGACTCCAAGATGAACGTGAGTCATTAGTGTGATGAAATCATCAGCAAAGCTAACCGCACTTTATCAGGCATCAGCAGATGCATGACAAATAGAACCAAGGAGGTGATACTTCCCCTCTATACGGCATTGGTCAGACTGCAGTTGGAGCACTGCATCCAGTTTTGGGCACCGTGCTTCAAGAAGGATGTTGATAGACTCGAGAGGGTCCAGAGGAGGGCCACTCATATGGTTAGGGGCTTACAGGACAAGCCCTATGAGGAGAGACTGAGGGACCTGGACCTCTTCAGCCTCCACAAGAGAAGGCTGAGAGGTGATCTTGTAGCCGCCTACAAATTCATTAGGGGGATGCAGCAAGGGTTAAGAGATGCTCTGTTCACCAGGACGCCTCTTGGGGTAACAAGGAACAATGGTCACAAACTGACAGAGAGCAGAATTAGGCTAGATATCAGGAAAAACTTCTTCACGGTAAAGGTGGCCAAAATTTGGAATGGGCTTGCAAAGGAGGTGATGGACCCAAGGACCCTACCTTGGGGGTCTTTAAGAGAAGGCTGGATAGGCACCTGGCTGGAATCATCTGACCCCAGCACTCCTTCCTACCTAGCTAGGCAGAGGGTAGGACTAGATGATCTGTTGAGGTTCCTTCCAACCCTAGCATCTATGAATCCCACCCCCCATGCTTCCCCCGGGGGTGCAGGCAGCAGCTGGGAGCTACCCTCCCTGTACTCCTTGGACAAGCCGCCCATAATTCTATCCTGCTCCCAGTCCTGGGGTTGCATTCACTGACCTGACTGGGCAGCACCTGTCCTGCCCCTGCTCCACTACCTCCCTTACCATGGGGGCCTTGATCTGTCCCCCCACACATCCCTTCCCTTCCCCATGCTCCTTCCCCACCACGGACTTACCTGCAGGATGTGCTCTCCATGCTGTTGGGCTGCATTCCTGTAAATTGATTATCAGATCAGTATTGGCCAGTATGGCTGGTTAATAATTGGCTATTGGTATTGGCCAATAAAATCTTTATCAGTGCACCCCTATCTTAAACCAGGTTTAGCCATTTTGAAAGCAGTTTATGTGCACTGAACTTTTGCTCTGTTGAAAGTTTAAACCAGTTTCTGATCACTTAAACCTGTTTATGTGTAACTTTTGTCCCTAGCCAAGGAGATTAAAAGGGAGAAGGAAAGAAAGAACATTAGCTGGTGGACAGACTTGTGAAAAGGAAACACCGTTAATGGAAGTTATATATCTATATGTATATTTTAAGGGACTGGATCTATCTTCAAATGTTAAATTTGTTACAAGTTGGATTCATTAATAAAGTTGTGGTTTTTTTAAAGAAACATTGCATTCATACAAAAATGGTATCTTTTTGGAATGATTTGTATAAGATGTACAACATGTCTACTAGTATATATTTTAATAAAGTTGGACATCAACAAATGGGAATATTATTCAAGAACAAGAAATAGTCACTGTGTAATATTGTTTGTTTATTACAAATTTAGCTCAGTTAAAGCTGGATTAGTCATCTAAACTAGTTCCTTCTTATAACCTCTCTGCTCTTATGATGCACTTAAAGAGTCTGAATCAGTTTTCCTGACATTGTTTGTTCACTTATTATATTGCTTTTAAGCAAATCTGCTAATAATCCAGTATAATCAATCACTTCCAGATGAGCTGTGCTGTGAATGGTAAAGCAAGTTAAATCACCTGGATTCGACTTCTCAGTTGCCTTAATCTCCCTGTACCTCAGTTTCTCCTTTGGTAAAACAGGAACACTACTAGTTATTCACTTCTGAATTTTTCCTGTAAATTGTTATTGAGAAAGCATTCCACTAATGGAGACTGCCTGGTGTAAAATATACATCTAGCAGTATCTCTTTCCTAAAATAGAACTATACAGAAAGAAATGTACTCTTACATCCTATATCAAAGCATTAGTAATCTCTCCTTCTCTACAGGGTTTATATAAAAAGGAATTGGTTAATGACTAATACAGGAAATATGCTGAAGTGTTGATAATACACATCATCAAAGAGACATTAAAAATAAACCAAAGTCAACGGAAGGGACCTGAGCAGGGGGTCGGACTTGATGATCTGCTCAGGTCCCTTCCAACTATAAAACTCAATCCATAATTTAAAAAACATTCAACAAATACTAATTTGAAAACAATTTTGTCGCTAACTATTGAAACCAATTCAATACAAACCTCAAATTAAACTGAGAAACAAAGATTTTCATTTTGAAATTCTGTTCTGCTATAAACAGATGAACAAATTAAAAGATTTAAAACTTCTAAAATATTTTTGGAAGCTGACTGTGTTTATAGATTTGGCAGATATTTAACTTAAAAATATCAGAAGTACTTGTCTCTAATTTGCAAAAGAAGAAATGTCAGCTTCAGCAAAGCGTCGGAGAAGAGTCTGTTTTCAATAATATTTGGCAATATATTCTGAACCCTGGAATAAGTTAAATAAACTGAAGTAACACCGACCAAGCACAATGACAGCCTGCCCTCACTCCCAAAACAACCATAATCAACTCCAATAAAGCTGCTGAACAGAATGCACATTTTTTAAAGACAATAACATACTACCTGACCTCAGCGTATACTGGATGGAATTTCAACGAGCTAGTAATACTACACAATTAAAGGAGATGAACAAATTGTGCAGTAAGTTGTTTATCAGATGCAGACAAGATCATCTAAACTTTACATTAAATGGCAAAAAGAGAGACTTGTGATAAAATCTACAGCATGCACTTAACGATTAAGTAAATCTGGCTGCATAATACTCAATGCATTTGCTCACACTTTTGGTTTTGGACTGTGGCTGCACGCAGTTTTACATGCAGTAAGAGTCCTCAAAGGACTCTAAATGTTAAGTGAAATCTTCTGTCTTAAATGCCTGCTCCCAAGTACACAGTCAAAGCTTGCACATGGTAAGGAACTTCATGCTTATGGCCAATATAATCATACAGACTACTAATGAAATCACCATGCCATACACTATTCCACTGCCATTAGGCAACCACTTCCCATAATGAAATCTTATGCAAGACAGAGAGATCTCAGTCACACAGACACATACAACCACAACCCAACTGTTGCTGAACCATATCACAACTGCACACACAAAAAACATCTGCCGCTCAGATCTGAACAGGCAGTATTCCTCATTGTGCATAAGGTGGTAGTACCAAAGGCTTCTCTCAGAACTTTCTCCTCATATGTAGCAGACAATCTTTAAACAGATAGAAAAATAAAGTGCCCCCCCCCAATGAACTATCATTGACATGTTCATTTGGAGATTTTATAGTCATGTATATTTGTAATATCCATATTTATTTGTACTTAGCTTACACATGTATACAATCCGCAGGCTGTGAGCAAGCCTCTACGAGCCATTTTAAAACATGCAATTAAGTTGGATTTTTTGTCTTGCAGCTTTTGCCATGGTGTGGGACGGAAACAACTCAATGGAATACTACGATGAAGCTGAATCAAATTTTACTATAGATTATGATCAGTTTGAAACACTTTGTGAAAAAGAGGAAGTGAGAAAATTCACTAAAGTGTTCCTGCCTGTATTTTACTCACTGGCTTTCATTGTTGGAGTTGCTGGGAATGCATTAGTAGTGGCAATCTATTTTTACTGTAAGAAACTAAAGACTAAGACAGATATGTACATCATGAACTTAGCAATTGCTGATTTGCTCCTGCTATTCACTCTTCCTTTTTGGGCTGCAAGTGCAGTTCAGGGGTGGGTGCTTGGAAATATCATGTGCAAACTCACTTCTGCATTATACACAACAAATTTCAGTTCAAGCATGCTATTTCTGGCTTGTATTAGTGTAGATAGATATAATGCCATCTCCAAACCTCAAAGTCAGAGACGAGTTAGGAAGCAATGCAACATAACCTGTTTCTGTGTCTGGATGACTGCCATTTCACTGAGTATCCCTGAACTGATTTTTAACACGGCCAAGGATATCAATGACAGGTATGAATGCCTACCAGTGTTTACAGTAGACATGGGAAAATCCTTCAAAGCAATCATTCAAATCCTGGAAATTATGCTGGGCTTCATGCTACCCTTCTTAGTCATGGTGCCCTGCTATTCAGCTATGGCCAGAGTCCTCTTCAGGTCTCCAAATGTTAAAAAATGTAGGCCTATCAGGGTTCTTCTAGCAGTAGTAACTGTTTTCATTGTCACCCAACTGCCTTATAACATAGTAAAGTTCTGGCGAGCCATAGATATCATCTACTTGCTGATTACAGATTGTAACATGAGTAAAACCATGGATGTTGCACTTCAGATAACCAAAAGCATAGCTTTATTTCACACCTGCCTGAATCCAATTCTGTATGTCTTTCTGGGAGACTCTTTTAAAATGCACATTCTAAAATCAGCAAAAAAATATGGCTATTGGAGGAGAAGACACAGTGAAATGACTGAAGAGATCTCGATGAATTATGACAATCAGACAGCAGAAACAAGCAGCTTTTCAATATAGCAGCTATGACAGCCTAAATATTCTGCGTAACAAAAGGAAATCCAAGACTACCGCTTCCGGGGGTATCTCTCTTCCTTGATGCAATTTCCACGCAAGAATTACTCTTTAAGTCTCAAATGATGTTCTGGCACAACCTGCCAAGATACTGTGAAGAAGGTCAAAATGTATAAAAATAAAAGCCATATGGCAAAGGTATTAGAAACAATGGAAACTTACGTGAAACAACAGAAGGTGGAAAAGGTATTGGGAACAACAGGAATTTCCATGAAAAAGCAATATTAAACGGAGCAGTCTGTACTGCCATTAAGTTGACGAGGGATGAAGCGATTATACATGTCAAGTATACATTCAGTATGTTGGAAGGAAAGAAAAATCACCAGCAAAAGACTATTTAACATCTTAAAGCAAAAAGTACTGTAACTAACCTTACGTCCTTTAAAATGTAACATTCTAGATATGTATCTCAAACATTCTAGATAAGTATCGCAAAACCACTTCTGGACTCCCTGATTTAAACTGTTTCCCTGAGTCTGCAGTTCCATTTATCCTCAACTGTCACTTCAGAAATGGGCTTGCAGGTTTGCACTAAGGGAGTAGATAATGTCTGGTATTTCTCAGAAACAAGAGAAAACAGCAAGGTATTTGTTCTCTGTGTACAAATGCAGGTGGCATATTTAAAAAAAAAGCTTCTTTTGTATAACTATATAAAATTCTTTTTTTATAATATTTTTCTTGGACCATATTTCAAAGAATCTAACTTCCCATTATAGACACATGCCAAGTACTTCATTATAATTCTTGGTTCATGTAAGCTGATTACTGGGGCCTAGGTTTTGTCATTTCTTGCAAAACCATTCATCTTTCTGTAGACTTACAAAATCTCAGACTAAAAGATGTAAGGAAAAGGGCACATCTACACAAGATGTTTCCTGCAGTTGCCTAATTAGCTCCACAGTAAAACATCAGTATCTACACATGTGGCCCTACTAGCTGGGTTGGAGCAGCCCCGGGCTGGCAGGCTAGAGCCCCTTGCCAACTGAGGCTGCTCCTCCCCAGCTCAACGTGCTGCAGTCCTGAGTGCACATGTAAACACTGCACCCGGGAGCAATAAACTCCAGTGCAAACTGTGACAGAGTTTATTCCGCTGAATTAATTTTGCATGTAGATGCACCCACTGGGTCTTACATTTTATAGGTGTCACTTATAACCTAATTTAGGACATAGAGCCTTATTGTGTTTTATAAAAAGAACAATTCTGGTATGTAAATTGTACTGCATGTCCCTATGAATATTTCACTGGTGCAATTTAGGCACCAATCTTTGTAGGTTTAATTCACGGAGTAGAAATAACTGAAGCAAGAGGATATTTATCCTCAATGAGTGGAGTGAAGGACCTAAAGGCAGATATAGTTTTGGTCATTTAGAAAGGAATGAATGAGATGAATACTGTTCTGTGATAGCTAACACAAGTAGTAATTTTTAAACTGTCCATATAATTGTGCATTGAAGTATTTAAGAATTATACTTTCTTTTACACTTGATTTTCTTTTGTTCTCTGTAGTCTGTTTATATACGTTTGGTAATGAAAGTAGATCTAACTGGATATGCCCCAAGCACTCCTAGTAAGCATTCATGTGCTTCATACAGAAGATAAAAGGTAATGACTACTAGGTTCCAGGTATGTTACAGGAGGTCTGCTGGCTACAAACCAAGCTCCCAACTCTAGAAAGGGAGGTAAACAGCAAAAAATGTCAGAGCAGGAAACAGATGCATTGGCTGGGGGAGTGAGGGGGGAAATGACGTAACTGAAAGGTAAAAAGATTACTTTGTTGACTCCACTGGGAAGAACTAAAGATCAAATAATTTTAATACAGCTATTAACAGCCAACTCTTATGACATGTTAGTGCTCTCAGCTACCACTGGCTGATTGCTTGCACATTTTAAAGCAATGCACTAATGTTGCTATTTAAAATATAATTTGGCTGATGTTACTGCATGTATACAGTTCTCGGGCACTTCAAATATGTCAGAATCACACCCTAAGCTTATCTATGCATTATCATAGTCTTTTTAACTTATACAATAAGAGCTGCTGCCTTAACTTGTAATAAATCTCAGTAGTGTCCCCACACCCAGGGATCTAGTTTGTCAGAAATAATCTGGGATACATTTACATCCACAGGCTATTATTTCAAGGGGTAGAGTCTGCTCAAGCATGTGCAGTAAAAATACCACAGCACATCTACATTTTTAATGCTTACTTAAAGTTAGTAAAAGCCAATACAAATCTCAGCTCTCAAAGACAGAAATTATTCTTGTCATGAGTCCACATGATGCTTAGGGCAGTATTTGAACTGCAACAATCAACTACTGTCAGCTCAACTACTGCATGAAGATGCAGATGCTTAAAATGGTATCATACATCTCTGGGAACAGCTACAGCTCAAAACAGGCCTGGGGTTTGAGGTTTGGTAGTGATGTTGAAACTGTAGGTGAATTAATATTAATGTGTATGAAGTCATTTAGAAAAAAAACATGTGCAGCTGCTGTATATTAGCTGCTGTATAAAGTCATTTAGAAAAGAACATGTGCTAGCTATATATAATATAATTATATTATATATAGCTAGCACATGTTCTTTTCTAAACAACTTTATACAGCAGCAAATGCTGTACAGCAGCTATTTAGAAAAGAACACATGCTAGCTATATTAAGGCTATTTAGGCATGTGTCTACACACACATGCTAATGCACATTGATGCAGGTGTGTAGACTGACTTGGGACTAAAGTTAATCCCAAGTCAGTGGACACACGCCGTGTTAACGCACATTAGCATGTCTATATCTTCGCTAATGTGATTTAGCTATTCACACCTAAATTTGATATCTGCTTTATGCAAGTATTGAATTTAGGTGTGGAGGGCTCCTCCTACAAATGTGTGCAGAGTCTGCCCTAACATGCTGGAAATCCAGTACATTGGAGCAAACTCAATTAACTGAGTCTGCTGGAGCATGGAAATTGATGTATTTTGGCAACCTTCCACATCACATGCATCAGCGTCCCAGCATGTCTCTACGCTAAAAAAATGACAGCAGGGCACTTTGAAATAAAACACATTCGATAAGCTTTAGTTCAAAGTGCCCTGCCATCATTTCTCCAGTGCAGGGACACACAGGGACGCTGATACATGACACGCAAGCATTTTTAATCAACACAGGTCACTAATTAAAGCACTTGGCACCACGTCCCACAACGCATGTAAAAATGCCCAACTAGCCTAAAATCACCATTTTTAAGCTGCATCAGGGGCATGCATGTGTAAATGTGCATCCTTAATGCGCCTTAAATCAGGCTAAAGCACCTTAAATTGGCATGTGTAGACATGCCCACTGTATGATAAGGAGCAGGAATAAAAGCAAGGCCATGAGTCAATTTAAGCACTGTGGTAAAAGGTGACTGTACTGCACATTCAGGGATATTCACCAGTTATAAATCTAGCTAGGAAGTGGGACAGAAAGCAGTCTGACAAGGGATAATCCATCAAGAACATACAGTAGTTGAAAAAACAGGTAAGCATTTGTAATAAACATGCAGGAAACTCTCTATGATGTAATCCCACACACAAGGGGCCAAGATAAAGGGAGCTTTACAGAAAAGCAAAACATATAAAAGACAAAACTCCCAAATCATATGTTATCTAATGGAAAGATAGACAACTGTTCTTTTCAATCTTAGTTTTGGGTGCCGCACCTCAAGATGGATGTGGATAACTTTGAGAGGGTCCAGAGGTGGGCCACTCCTATGGTTAGGGGCCTGCAGGAAAGGTCCTTCGAGGAGAGATTGAGGGACCTGGATCTCTTCAGCCTCTGTAAGAGAAGGCTGAGGGGGGATCTGGTAGCCATCTACAAATTCATCGGGGGAAGCAGCAAGGTATAGGAGATACTCTGTTTACCAAGGGAGCCCTTGGGGTAACTAGAAACAATGGCCATAAACTGACAGAGAACAGATTTAGATTAGACATTAGGAAGAACTTCTTTACAGTAAGGATGACCAGAGTCTGGAATGGGCTTCCAAGGGAGGTGGTGCTTTCCCCTACCCTGGAGATCTTTAAGAGAAGACTCGACAAACACCTGGGGCTGGGGTCATCTGACCCCAAGCACTCTTTCCTGCCCAGGGCAGGGGGTTGGACTTGATGATCTGCTGAGATCCCTTCTGACTCTAAAAATCTATGAAATCTAAGGACTGAAAAGGATTAAAAACTGTCAAAGAGCAGTGCACTTAATTTAGCAGAATAAGACTTGGCTTTCATGAATAAAAAGCAAATCTGGTTACCACCCTACCCACCATTTTATACTCTGCCCAATGCTGCTGCAGCAGGAAGATAATTTTAGCTCTAAAAACTGCACAAGTATTTTTTGTTTTACTAAATCTGAAGGGAACTTGAGTCTTAGTCACTGTTATAGACCCGTATTCAACTCACCACTGCTCCACCACTTCTTGCCATTAATTACATAGCTATCTCCATCTCGCTCAATGCTGCATTCCATGTTGGTGGAGTCACTTGAGGCAACATCTGGTTCTGGTTATAAAATACATTCTGAGTAAGTTCAGTGGTGATACTGTAGTTTTAATGTATAAACACATACATCTAAACCAGGGGCAGGCAAAGTCTAGCCCAGTGGTCACCAACTGGTCAATCACAGAGCCTCTTGGGAGTTGATCTGAGGCTGGGGTGGGCTGAGTGTACATGTACATACATGCATGCACCCCACCCCCTCAGCCCAGCAGGTCAGTCCATGGAGGAGGGAAGGGGCAGGGGGCAGATCAAGGCCCCCACAGTGAGGGACAGAGTGCAGCAGAGGCAAAAGCAGGGGTGAGGTGAGTGGGGCCCCAGGCAGGCGGATGGTGGGAGGATCAAGCCCCGGCAGCTTGTCCAGAGGCACAGGGGGGTGGGAGGGCTCCCGCCACTGCATGTACCCCAGCAGAGACCCCAGAGGGCACATGCCCCCTCACCTGTATGCGGTAGAGGCGGCTGCCGTTGCAGGCTGGGCTTTGCAACCCGAGCCCCACTGCAGCTGGCCTGGGGATGAGGCTCAGCCCAGCGGCTGGACGCACATGGCATCAAGCCATTCCTAGGCCAGCTGCAGTGGGGCTTGGGGTGCAAAGCTCAGTGTGCAACAGCAGCTGCCTCCACCACGCACATTTCGGGGGGGGGGGGGGCACATACTCTCCCCCAAACACATCATAGTGCAGGTAGCTGCAGCAGCTGTAAGACAGAAAGTTGCGCTAGGACGGGGCAGGCCCTGCACAGCCCAGGCAGGGTGCAGGATGTTGCCACAAGCGGCTCGTCCGGGGTGCATGGGGAGGGTGGGACACACACCCTGGGAAGGCATGTGCCCCTGAATGTGCATGCGGAGTGGGGCAGGCTTGGGCCAGGGCTGCACTGGGCTCTTCCCGGCAGGGATGTTGGGCTGGACTGTGCTCAGGGCGGGCGGTGGTGCTGGGAGCGGAGCTACATGGGGGCTGCAGGCACCTGAAAATTCGCTGTAGTCCCCCCAACCCTTCTTCTCCAAGGGCATGGGAGCCGTGTGCCGGGGATCTGCATGGTGAGGATGGCAGGCTGGGGTTGGAAGGCAGCGCCAGGCTCTTCCCAGCAGGGATGTTGGGTCGGGCTGCGCCTGGGCTAGGCAGCAGCACTGGGAAGGGGGGTTGGGTGGGCTGGGTCAAATTTTCAGGTGCCTGCAACTCCCCCTGCTGGATGCTGCAACTCCCAGCACCATGGCTGCCTGGCCCAAGCACAGCCTGGCCCAACACCCCCACCAAGAAGAGCCTAGCGCAACCCGGGCCCCAGTCCATCCCACCCCGCATGTAGATCTGGGGACACGTGCCCTCCCCATGCTCTCCCGGGCTGCGTGCCCCTCAGACAAGCCACTCGTGGCTCCAGCCC